GAGATCTCCGCGATCGGTCGGCTAACAAGGGACATTACCCAATCGACGATCGCCGATTTTGATGCCCTGTGAGTATGATATAGAACGCAAAAAAATATTTGACACGTATTTTTTTTTTATCGACCATCGTCCATGTTGAAGGGGTGAAAATAGCCCCCAAAGTTGGTGCTGCGAAACATATTTTCTCGAATATCTCAGGAACTATTAGGCTTAGACAAAAAGTTCAAAATGCAAATCTTTCTGCTTCCGACGGCCAATAATATGGCGTAAGTGGATTTTTGAAAAATATAATTGTTTAAAAAATATATTGAAAAATAGTACATTTTTGTAATTTTTTTTTGGTAAAATGTTGATCAATTTAAATAAAAATTGGTACAAATAAACTATATATCTTGGTGAAGAATACGGATAAATTGGAATTTTTAAATTAGCCGTTGTAACAGATATTATTAACACTAGGTTTATGGGCGTTTCTTATATACCTATCTCTACGAGCACCCGTCAAATTGACGGGTGGATAAAAATACGTGTTTACTTTAAAAACATCAATTTATTCAAACTAAGTTTGAGTTGAACAATATAAGGCTTCACGTAAAAATAAAATATTTATAAGTCAAAGTCTTTTTTTTAAGTTATTACGGAAATGATAACAATAATATAAACAGGGTAATCATTTTTATTGAGCACATATTTCACTTGTGCATTTTCCGCATACGGTCTTTTTACAATACATACAGCAATTAGTGATTTTATTTTTATTACAGTAGCCCACTTGGCAAGTTTTTCGGACTCCTGATGTTGAAGGTGACTGAACTGAAACGCTTAAACTTTGACGAACGTTTTCCTTGTTTTCTCCGGCTAATTCATCGGCTAAAGAAAATATAAATTCCTTTCCGGATATTGTCGATCCGGTACACTATTTATACAATATCCACGCGTTTATCGCTACCAAATCTAAAATATTATAAAAAACTTGAAGAGGCCATCGAAAACACCCCGCTTTCACACTATATTTGCGTGCCATCTGGTACGCGACATCGACACCAAATTTTGTTTTATTATAAAAAGTAATGGTTTCTGGAACACATTTTTTATTGTTTTCTATTTATATACTTCTATGTTTGCTGCTTAGAAGAAGGACTTTTACTTTGGGTTTACTTTTATATACAGTAAGCGTGCAGTCTTCTGATTTATATAAAACTGAGGAAAATAACGGCATCTTGTCCTTTGTTTCTTTTGCTGGTTTTGACAGTTCCCTTTTGTTCGCGCGGATGGTCCCAACCAAGGTTGTCTTTAGTGCAAGCAATTTTTTAGCTAGCGGGATGCTTGTAAAAAAATTGTCTGTCGTGATATTTCTACCTTGTTGTAAATATGGTTCGGTTAATTTTAATGTTACAAACTGGCCCAACGAACCTGAGCATCGAGTTTCATCTTTTCCCATGTAAGGGAAACCATTCAAAATATATTTTGATACAACGTCAACCGCCAACCAAAACTTAATGCCAAATTTATGCGGCTTATTTGGCATATATTGGGTAAACCTGCAACGGGCTTTTGTTGGAATTAGCTGTTCATCCACTGTGATATTTTGGTGTGGTTTATAACAAGCCTGGCTGTTACTTATAAATCTGTTCCATGGTTCAGAAATCAGTGCAAATTTATCGGTTTGTAACCTTTCGGATCGTTCGCTTCTTTTGTCAAAGCGTATAAATCTCAGAATTTCTATAAATCTATCTCTGGGCATTGTGTCTCGGAAAAAAGAAAGTCCCCATTTTTTTTACCATAGATAAGATAGTTTCAATGCTCTTACTTCATACGCGTCCCGGGCATGTAGTATTGCTAAAAAACTACATAATTCGGAAACTGTAATTGTCCAGTCGTTCTTCAAAACTCGACGTGCCTCGGTTTCGGTGCAGTCTTTTATGTGTTTCATAATGTGAGCGTCAATTATCAATTCAGAAGCACTAGTTACACAACCCGACATAATATTTCTTTTTGCGTAACCTGTAGGCCCTGCGATATCCTTGAATATAGTATGAACGGACGGCCTACCACTAGATTTTCCTGCTTTTAGTTTCACCCACTGTGTCCCGTCAGCTGCAATTTCAATTTCTTCCATTATATCTCGGGATGTACTTGGAATACTCGTCCTCTCATCCTCGGTGTCAGAACTAGAAATAATTCGTGTCCTTTTCTTGTTACGACGCGTATTGAAGTTTTCCTCTTCACTATCCGAAGATCCTTTCATTTCTCCAGTTTCAATGGATTCAGAATATTCACTGTAATCTTCACTTTCACCTAATTCATATTGATCTTCTTCGGAGGTACCCTCAGAACAATCCTCATTGATGTTGGTAACTTTGGCCAATTTCTTATTACATCTCCTGTTTCTACTCATGATTGCTAGAAAAGGGTGATCGGTAAAAGTAAAAAATACTGTGGCCAAATTCAATAACTCTATTGTAAAAACCTACAATAAGCGGAGACTCTCTACAAGAACCGAAACTTTTTCACACTGTCTTTTTGAAACGTATATACACTGTGAATGTAGAATTCATATTGAAGATCTTCTCTTGCTCTTTAGCTCTTTTCGGAGATAGGAAAAAACAGTTGGGTAGCAGACCAACGTAAACACTCAGGTAATACGATCCGCTTTTATTTACATTATCGAGGCGCGATGAACATAACGAATTGCAAACGGAGCACATAAAAACATTGCTTTCGCTCTTGTATTTCCTACTGGATGAATACTGTGGCGAACGAAGCAAAAATATAAGGATTATACCATATATGAATCTCAAAAAGTAGAAGGCTTAGGAAAAAAAAAAACAGCGTGTATAAATTCTTTGGAAGAAATGATGGTAAAACTGTAGAATTACTCCGTCACCTCAAAAAAAATATTCGGGACATGTTTTCGATGTATTTTTGCCTCCTGAATACGAATATGATCATAAAAATCGGCGGTCGGACATATCTGAGCTGCTATTTTGGAAAAACAGCAGAAAATCGTGATTTCTTAGAGTTTTTTGTATTTATTTTGAAAAATTCTCATCTGATGAAAAAATGTTTCCAACAAAAAATGTAGAATGGAAAATTCTCTACAAGAAAGTTCTGATACATTTTTTTTTGTAATTCTAACGGTAAGGCTGCAAATGAACGACGAAAGTGTCAAAAATTACCTTTCGAATGG